TTTTACTATAAAATATATTTTCATGTCTTCAGAATATTTTGTTTTTGTTTAGGGGGACCCTAACAGACGCTACCACCCCGCTTTACGTTGCAACAACTCTGTATATCTTTTTATGTCTATTAGAAATAAATAAATAAAAAATAATTATAATTTCACAAATAATTATAATAAAATAATTATAACAATTATAATCATTATTAATAATACGATTCACCATTTCTAGACCAATGGATGAACCCCACTTTTCTATTGTACCACACACAAACTCGTGACAGACTCACTATCGAACAAGCAATGAAGACAAGGGTTGATAAAAAAAAAAAACTTCTGCCCCTTTACTTTTCAAGACACAAGGATTTCATTTGTCTCTTAACACTCACAACCAAAATTCGAGGTAAGAAGACTCCAGATACTTCCTTTTTCTCCAGCTAAATAATCTAGACACTCACTAGGTACATTATATAAGAACTTCAAATTAAAAAAAAAACACATACCAGAATGACTGTATACATTTTACTCGTTCTTTACCTTATCAATATGACAGACCAGGCACCCGACAGTCCGATGCAACCGGGTTTGCCAGATCTCACCTGTTTCACTACCCTTTGATCCGCGAGGGAAGCGCTTCTGGCCAAGTGTGTGGGCTTCTCCATCGCGCAGAGTTGTCCACACAAATCAAATGCACGCGAATGGTCTCGTCTATTCTATTTGACTTCGATTTCTATCATCAAGTTCAGCAATGATCGTCCCTCGGGCGACTGGAGGCAGTCTTGGTTAACTTAAGGTACTTAGTCCGGGCCCACACGTTGGCAGAGGGTTAGTGACGATCGTATACGCCGAGACTTCACAGCCACCCACGCCATCACCATCAGAGGAGAGAAAGGGAATATGGAGAGAAGATGACGCTCATGCGCGAAGACGAGCCGGTGCCAACGACGATTCTTATCATTCTGTCGGATTCCAATCCATATTTCATCCTTATTTGATACCAAATACGTATTTACTCAATATTACTGTCTCTCACGTCTTTAATACTACATAGCAACTACATCAGCTTGTCTGGCGAGATCAAGTACAACTGAATGCTCGAAAATCTTGTGCCACATTTAAGCTACGCTAAGAATATCAACATCCACAATAGCGTCTATTAGCCAAAAAGGTAGATTAATAAAAAAACCTAATTTTTTTAATTTTATGCAGGTATGTAATAATTTCGTTATTATTATTGAATATATGATAATAATCGTCAGGAAAGCAGAGATTATCTAGCCCGAAGTGAGCAAGTATTTTTTAAATAGGCACGTAAATTTTTAGGTGATTTTCCCTATTGTGTATATATATATATATATATATATATATATATATATATATATATATATATATATATTTTCTTTTCCTCATAATCTAAATTCCCCGTTAACAGTTCTGACGAGAGGGACGAAACCGGTCGACTGGTGTGTGTTTTATTTTAAACTTATCATGGCCTACAATACAACATTTCTAGTTTTTAATGCCTTAATATATATATATATATATATGACCCAGGTTCGAATCTCACCATTGTTCACAACATCAGGAGCCATCCTGATGTTGCCGGACGGGATCGAGGTCGATCCCAGTGCGCGGCACCTTTGGAAAGTGCCCGAAAACCGTACAACGGGTTGATCTAAACCTTGTGGGGGAAATTGGGTAGATGGAACCTTTGGGACCGTCGTTAGCTGTGCTAGCACGAAGCCACAAGTCATCTTGGCCGAAGGCTTGAGAGTGATGGCCTTGTTCAAACTGTTGATCACGCTAGATAACACGCTATCTCCCAGAAACTGTAACTAAGGTCTGCGCTGCATAATTGCAATATAAACCACAGGTGGGCTATGTGGGTGTTGAAGAAACACAAATGTCCCTGAGCGAGCGCCTGAATTAGAGATTGGCTAGCCGCCTTAGTAGACGTGTATCCTCGAATACGAGTGGCCAGTTATTATATATATATATATATATATATATATATATATATATATATATATATATATATACACATACACACACACACACACACACATATATATATATATATATATATATATATATATATATATATATATATATATATATATATAAAAAAGAAAAAAAAAGACACAAATGTTTTTATTATAAGGTGGATTGTTTTTATATACTTCATTTTGTATATATCACTAAACGTGATTCGGTCTTGTGACTTTCCCCAGGTGAAAAATGTTTATTTCCACATATTATTGAATAAGGAATATTTTTTCTTTCGATGTTAAATCTTTTCACCATTGTCTTTGGAGTGCATTAGTAGCAGTCATCTGAATCCATCTTGGGCTGGCTGAAAAATCTCTATTTCATAGAGCAGGGGTTCGTGGGAAGAATCAGTTCGAGTGGAAAGTAATCCTCGCCAATGAAATGCGGAGGGAATGAGGGTGGCTTGCTACAATGTAAGTCACATGGCTATTCCTAACCGTGAATATTAGACATGCTTGAACGATGGAAATAGCGATAATGCAGTGAGAGACTCGCCACATCCTGCCTGTGAGAGGCAGAGTTTGGAAGGTGGAAAATAATTCTTCTCCAGCAAGAACTCTGAGACGCTTTTGAACAATATCAAAAATGGAAAGTGAGGTCTGGACAGCTCCCGCCCCAAATATTGCAACAGTATTCCATTTTCGGTCTGATCTGGCTCTTATAAAAGTAAAGGATAGCATGAGGAGTCAGCTACTTACTTTTTCGATAGAAATAGCCGGTCATTTTACCCACATCTTTAACGATGGATCGTATATAGGAGTACCACTTGCGATCGGGTGGGAGTTTGAGGCCTAATATTCTCTCAAGGTACGGTGTCTTCTCGAGGGGACATCCGTGACTGGTTATAGTTTGGGTCTCACCGGCGGTTATGGGTTTTAATACTAAAAGGGAAGCTACTGAGATGTTAGTGGCATATAATGTTATATACTCAGCTATCAATTTTGCTTTCCTACTTGAACGCTTAAAAAGATCATATTCCCGAATTAAATTTTAATTTCCATCGTTTGTATCACATTGCAGGCAATATATAACAACAGATCGTCGCTCTAACAATAATGACATTTCGAAAATTATTTTGCGTGACATACAGCAAAAATTTCTCTCATGAATGCAATTTTGATATCTATGGAAGCTTTGAAATGACATTCTATTATTCTTATTGACCTAAGTAGCTTCATTTCAAGATGTATTACTTTTGACATTCTTACCGCTTTCTGTCTCTCAACCATGCCTAAGCAGTTTCACTGTCTACGAGTAAATCTTTTGAGAGGATCTTTAATGTATAAAACATATACATTTCAGACAATCCGTTGATAGAAATGGATTATCTGTGCGTAAAACCACTGATCCAATAAAACCCCACTGATCCATTGAAAGAAATAAAACTAAAAAAGCTTAAATTTGTTCAAGAAATATTAAGCAGCTAATGCCTCCATATTTGCTGCATTGATGCATTAGTGTTGATGGTTACTAGACAAAAACAAAATTAAATAACACCACACGATGCAAGAATGTAAATTAGATTTGCATAATAGATTTGAATTCAGTTGTTTTCATTAATTACACGTTGTGTGCTGAAAATTTCTCGGCCTGAGACTCTTCCCAAAGTTCGACAAAAATTCTTTTTGGTCGGGCTGAAAACCTTCAAAACTCTCTCGTCGTGTAAATGATTGGTTTGCAAAAATGCTTTTGAGCCAGTGAGTCCGGTAGATCATGGAGAAGACCACGCTTCTTCGAACCTTGTGGGCTGACGCTCTAGAATCACAAAGAAGTCTACCAAATAACGAAAACCAGATCACTTGAGAACTTTTAACAGTATCATCAGATAAAATGGATTTTTTTTTAAATCGGTATCACCCAGGTGTTGTAATCTAGGAAGGATTACTGAATGAGGAATAACCAAAATGAATGGTGCAAATGAAATGGTAATCTTTATAACATTAACAAAATACAATACTCGTCAGCGGCGTGAAATAGGTTAACCATTGCTAGTGGTGGACTAAAACAGCATATTACGATATTTACCTGCCTTTTCACGATGTAGAATGCAGCACAAGGCCAAATTTAATGTAGGGAAATTCAAACCCGTGGGCTGGGTCAGAAATTGCCAATAGACAACGCATACGCGGAATCGGGTATCTGTCTACCTCCCCGGACGTGACTCTGTCCTTCGGCATAGCCTCGTCCGTATTCCTCTCTGCCCAAAGGCAAAGAGTTCGACACTGCAAGAGCTTCCCACGCTGACAGCTCATGCTGCCAGCTTAGGCAGCATATTGCGATATTCTCATCCCCCCACCCCACCCAACGTGGTAGGATGCGGCACAAGGGCCAAATTAATGTGGGAAAATCCGAGTCCGTGGGACCGAGCAAAAATTGCCCGTAGACCCCGCTTACGCGTGATCGGGTATCTGTCTACCTACCCGGACGAGACTCTGCCCTTAGGCATAGCCTCATCCGGGTTCCTCTCTCTCCAAAGGCAGAGAGTTCGACACAGCAAAAGCTTCGTACGCTGACAGCTCACGTTGCCAGCTTAAGCAGTATATTACCCCTACATGCAATGGCGTCCAAAGTATTTATGAGGTTTGGGATATACCTATTAGTGTTTATAGGTACGGTATATAACACCAAGCAAAGCAGTAATGCCACTAAAACACGGGGTGTTAATGGGTTTTGAAGAAATAGGAATAGAAGCAATAAAGATGAGCAGTAAGACAAGAAAGTAATCAGGAGGACATTTGCTAAAGATTTAAATGTTTTCAGTTTAAAGTTGGCTGGAAAACATGGACCCGGAAGCGAGAAGGGCGAGAGAAGAAACTGTTAGCATAGAATTTACGGCTTCATCTTGTCAGCTTAACTGTAAATGGACATGATCTCGACGCAAGTCTATAAAGATAAAATAATGACATTTCACACTTTAAACAACAGGTTAAAAAGGAAGGCTTACACCACATCACATTGAAACAGTGATTCCGTACGATCACTGAAGTTAAGCAACGTCGAGTCTGGTTAATACTTTGATGGGCAACCGCTTGGGAATACCAGGCGCTGTAAGCTGGAATGTGCGGGTAGTTTACTTGCTAACGGCTCGGAATTATTGATCGAAGAGTTTAGTTCCATTCTCGTTGTGTATGTTGTATTCACTTACGCACAAATACCATTAGGAAAGGTATTAATCCACCTCTTCTCCCTCCATCTATGGGTTAATTAGTAAGACTTGTATCACTAAACTGTTATTATTACGCCCCCACACCTCGCTCCCAAATTCTTACAGTCTAAAAATATTTTCTGGATTTAAATAATAATCAAAAGGTTGCTAAACCGTAGAAAACGTATCAATCAATTAATAGTGGAAAGAATGGTAACGGCTACTGAATATGAGAAACCTATTTTCCTGAAAAATTGTTCTAAGGAAAAGATTTTATAAAATCCAACAGACAATAGTAGCAGCTCGGTCAATGAATGCCGAATGTTTCCTTATAAGGAAACGGTTAATATTATCCTTACCATTACGGTTTCTGTGAAAGAAGCCTATCAGCAAAATTGAAAAAATAAATAAATAAATAAATAAATAAAATGCAATCTTTATACATTAGCAATAAATTCGTATTTTTACTAGCTAGCCCTGCCACATGGACCATTTTTCCAGAAAATCTACGATCGAAAATTTTTTGTCCCTTTCAGTTTATGTGTATTATGTAAAAAGGGATATCGACTTTTGTTAACCAGATTTTTTTTTTATGTAGAAATAACGATTTTTTCATTCTTTGAGCGAGAGCATCTTATGAATAACTTAATTCACTGCATCTATATTCCTTGTATCTTTTCGACTACCTATAATTTACACATATCTTAAGTGGTATGTATATCTACCGAGAATGTTTTTATAACACCATATTCCTTTCAACAAAACAATAACGAACGGAAGCAAATATATTACAGACTGTAATTTATGAAAATATTTATTCCATTAATTAGGAATAAAATATTAAAACTCCGACTGTGGAATAAGTTTCGTTTTTCATAGAGCGAGAATTCATTCCTTAAAGTTTACATTTCCGACCAAATAAAAGTACTACTTACTAACCAGCTAAAAAGGAGAACTTCCAGTCAAACCTATGGCCAAAGGAATCGGGGCAAGGAAAAATGTAGAGAGAGAGATTTTTAAAAGTCAGTTAGTTATGTGTCATGCGTGATACACACTTAGGCGATCATGTATCTTTCGATACATGACTGACGAAGAAGATTTTTCTTTCTGTCGTAAACCAGTTGCCATCCAAGGATATAGAACACGGTCCGTCCTGCTGGATTCAAATCTTTCTTAAGGTTATTAGCACGTAAGTAAATGTAATGGATTCGACTGGAATTCGAACTCGGCTCTCCGATTCCACAATCCAAACCGCTATCCATTACTCCACCGCGCCTTTTGAAATTACTAGCTTTACTAGAATGCTGGCTGCCTCTGCTAATACGTATAGCCTCTAAAACTATTAGTGTCAAGGCCTAAATGTACTACATATCCATGCAAAATAAGACTTTCTGCATTATCATTGCGTATGCTCAAAAGCCCAATCTGGCAGAGGATCGGTATTTAGCAGAAAATCCAGACTGTGAATCATATGAGTATGCTAACCCTGTAGGCTCTCCTGTGGAGTGTAATGTGCCAACCTAAACAAATTAGGTTGCTGTTCAGGAGCAAGTAGATTTTTTATGGCGTGATGCTGCTTCCTTCACCTCAAACAGGTTGGAAATTCAGATTTGTCCTATTGGATTATTTGCGAATCAAAGTTAACCCATTTTACCCAGCTATTAACCTTTCTCTTAGGGAGCGAAGAGATAGATTTATATCCTTCCAAATGTATTAGGTGCTGAAATTTTTCTGTATTAGGAATAACTCCCAGAAATTCGGTTGTAGAGGAGATATGTAGTAGCAGCAGCAGCCAGTCAGCAATCGAGTAGCAGCAGCAAGTGACAGGCGCCTTTCGAAAGCCATACTTTCAAAAGAAACTCTCCGATTTTCCTTCGATTAATGCTTAGGATCATAGCCGGTCCTGTGATGTGATAATCTAGCTCAAAGAAATAAGTGATCACGGATATATTGGTTGTTCCATTTGCAAAATCCTATGAGATAACGGTGTTCCGAAAGTTGGAACGCGATCAAGATACGAGGATACACTGTCGAACCTAGCGTTATAAGGAGAAGGACCTTCAACAGGAATTTCGTACAAAGTTTCTATAAACTATTGCGTTTGTGCAGGTTGCTTCGTAGGTCGTTCAGTTGAATCTGTAAATTCCTTAAAGAGCATAGGGTCACAGTTTAACTACTCTCGGTGGTGTTGCTGTGATTTCTGTGGCAAATAGATTTTACTGGTTGGGTAGTAGTCCCGAACCAAGACAGTATTGCGTTTAAAGTTATCATTTTCATAGACTGGTTGAACAACCAGGCTAGATAGTCCAGTCCGCCCAGCTATTTAATCTATATCTGAAGGAACGAGGTAGATTCATATCTTTCTCAACTCAAGGTTATTTGTGTGAAATTAAACGCAACATAATCGGTCTGAATTTGAATTCAGCTTGACGATCCCAATTTGTTCGGGAAATGGAGATACGAAACTTGCAATACACAAAGAAATTATTTTTTTGGAAAATGAAATATCCGTAGTAATCATTCCTCATATTAATAATATAGCCATCTTGTTTATTTGCAATTCACTAAAATAGGGTATAGTTTTGTTGGACAAAGAAATTTGCTGCTATCATTTTAAAATCAAAGTCACCTTAATAAAATTCTAAACGGAACTAGAGCGCAATCATTATACGCAATCATTAATGAATAATTTGCATGTTTTTTAGACCAATAAAGCCACTAAGACGCAAGGGGTTACTGAGTGTGAGAGAGGATGAGAAAAAGAAAACATAATTAAGGAGAGAAATGAATAAAAAGGCAGGAATTAAGAAGACAGGAGATAACAATTGAGATTGCTTCTAGTTTTTTTTTAAGGTCAAATCAGATTGGAAAGCAAGAAATCGGGAAAGAGTTTCACAACAGACAAGTATAAGGGAAGAAAATTGTTAGAATAGAACTTATGATTACATCTCGCCATTTCAATTGTAAAGTTATAGGATCTTGCCGCCAGTAGTAATAGGCTTAAGTTCATAATATCTAGGTAGCAAAGAGAAAAGCGATAGTTATTTCTGCTATGTACATGCTTTCCTAGCATATATATATATATATATATATATATATATATATATATATATATATATACACACACACACACACACACACACATAGATAGATAGATAGATAGATAGATAGATAGATAGATAGATAGATAGATAGGATAATAATAACATTTATAATAAGAAGACATATATATGTATGTTTTTATCATTTCACATCCAAGCAAGCTAATAAAGTAATTATGACGCAAGGGGTTACTGAGTGTAAGAAAATATGAGAAAAAAACATAATTACGGATAGAAATGATTAAAAATACAGGAATTAAGAATATAACAATTGAGATTGCTTGTAGATTTTTTTAAGTTCAAAGCAGACTGGAAAGCAAGAAACCGGAAATGAATTCCATACGTGAGAAGTGAGAGAGAAGAAACTGGTAACATAGAACTTACGGTTATATGTAACCATTCCAACTGTAAGATGATGAGACCTTACCGCCAATCTAGTAGCACACTTAAATTCATAAAGTCTAGATGCCAAAGAAGAAAGCTTATCAGAACAATTACCACGGAAATAGTTATTGAAAAGTCACGGAGCAGCTACATTACGGCGGTGGGAAAATGACTAAAGCCGAGGTACCAAGTTAGAGCCAATAACATTGCAGATTGTTGCTTGGATTTTATCAACAATTCCTAAATGCATAGCAGAAGCACCAGACCAGATGTGACAGAAGTATTTAATGCATAGAAGAATGGTAGACTTATAAATATGTAGGATATATTCTGACGAGAAAGATTGTCTAGCACGACAGAGTAAACCAACATTCCTATTGATTCAATTAACTTACAAGCTGATTTACTTCCCTTCAGGTTATTCAAACACATATTTAACATTGTTCAAATATAAGTACGGTCGTTCTGCTTGGATAAAAGTTCTGTATCTTCCGCTCATAACGAATGAAATATTAAAATGTATTGCAAAACACGCTATCACAGCACTGTTTATACAATATAAAATATAAAAATCTTTCAATGTTGCTAAAATGTGACAGATCACTGTTTGAGCAAACTAAAAACTGCCTTTAAATTCAGGACACCTGCATCCATCTCTGGTCATTTTGAAAAGCGTACCCAAATGTATATGTTAAACAGGAAATAAAAAAGGGATCTTTCGGTCATGTAATTTTCGCTTATATAGTCAAAATTCTGGCCTAGTATCCTGCGTGCACTTTAGCACTAATACCCTCGATAAAGGCAAGAATCCATTTTTCTCCCTAGCCCGCTGAAGATATTAGTAAAATAGAACAAATATGTTCCCTAGTTTCGAGTGGCCGCCAGTCTAAAAGAAATATATCTCTGAAATTAAAAGGGTGGAGAAGACATCGGGGAATGATTTGGTTATCTTCACCAAGAAATTAATGTCAATTCCTTGATAATACAAAAAAGGAACCTTGGGAGACCCATAATCGCTTACGTCTAGGTTCAATGTATTATAAATGCATCAATCCTCAAAGAAAATGAGTTTATTTATTAGGTGTAAAAACAGCAGTTCCTTCATGTATCCGATCGATATGAGTGAAAGAAAGAACATGTATGAGAGAATGGAAATTCACATATAATCTCTATCTGCGAAGTTGCATTAGACGAAGGAAAACTTTAAGACTGATTCTACAATAAACTGTAAATAAGCTTCTTTTATGAGATGAATTCTTCCATTTAGGTGCTCAGTGGGGAATTGTCCTCTTCTGCAGGACGTTTCGCCCGTCTACTTTGTAGCAACTTGGCATTAAATTTATCGATCGATACTCACTTCGAAGACTTTAGAATTATTGCCTCCCTTATTTCTTGGCTGATCACCAATATTGCATTTCACAA